CGGAAGGAAGCCATTTCTGAAAGATATTCATAGAATGTCTGGTTTATAGTTTCCCACAAGCCTCCTCAGAGACACAGCTAATATGGTAGAAGGAGCTCTGGTCAGATGGAACCAACATTATGTTTGGCATAAAAACGCAGCTCATCACCCTGAACACCCCACTGTCAAACATGGTGGTGTATACAGGAACATTCTGGAAGAAAACCTGTTGGAGTCTGCAGAATGGTAAATGGCCTGTACTTATAAAGCGCTTGGAGACTCGACCAAAGTGCTCTGTACTAGATTCATTCACCCAGTCACTCACACACTGATGGTGGCAAATTACACTGTAGCCACAGCTGCCCTGGGGCTCACTGACTGAAGTGAGGCTGACCTCTTTCAGAGACATACGCCCTTTCTCAATTCACTAGAACGCCAGTACGGACTTGTGTTCTTGCTAAGTATGTTCTTGACTAGAACACAGGAAATTCTGGACTTGGCGAGAGCGCAGCATAGATATGGGTCGATTGGAACAGAAGCGTATTGATGACATCACCACACGCTCAGCTCATCTAGAGCTGCATTTCACCTCCTGTTAATAGTCTCTAGATAATAAATTCTGACTTTTTCATTTAGTGGGGGAATAACAATGAACGCAGTCAGATAAACACAAATCTAATCAACATTTTGCCAGATAAAAAAAAACCAAATCGCTATCAGAGCCAGCGGTCCTTCACACACGGCTATGCCGAGAGACGGCTGCTATAGACGGGCTAACGTTAGCCCTGGCTGCCGTTAGCTTTGGAGCTCCGCTGGTGAATTCGTAAATGGACCGTATAGTCACGCTTTAAAGTATTATATTTTTGCTTCAAATGATCCTAAAACATACTTTTATTGAACAACAGCAAAAGAAAGAGAACTTCAAAACCTTCAATTGACCGCTTCATTTAAAGATGCTGCCGCAGTGCATGCTGGGACAGCCGTCAATCTCAAGAACAGGCAAGTCTGCTCTGATGCATGCTGGGTAAAGAGGGAGGGCCAGAAGAACATGCGGGGATGGTGCGTTCTCGGTCTGGCGTTCTCTGCAATAGGAACAGTGCTCAGGCTGAGGCTGATGATGAGAATGCTCTAGAACACATATGGAGAAACGGCCTCAGACAGGTATGGGGTATCACAGGGTAACATCACAGGGTAACATCGCAGGGTAACATCACAGGGTAACATCGCAGGGTAACAAAGAAGCCAAACGACCCCCATTCCAAAGGGGGGGGGGGATTCCTGGATGGGAAGAGAAACGTCTTCAAACTTGGAGACAAAGTCCAGTGGATTGTTTTTAACTTTATTTGGAATTACTTTGACCTGGATGACTGAGAATCCTGTGAAACTATAGCAACTGATGTCCTACTTGAACTTCTGATATAAACTTTCAAATGTTGCCTTTATGTTGTTACCAGGATCATTTGATAGATTTTATAGTTGCTGAGAAAAGCTCAATCAGATTCTGGAGTGTTAATCTAAGCACTGACTTGAGGAGGAGCTGTCTGGATGATTGGTTTGTATTGTGTCTGTAAAGTGCTTTGAGCTGATATGTGCTGTGAATCTGTGCTTTTTAGATAAACTGATTTAATTTTATGTTCAACCTGATGTTTTTTTGTGTTTTTATATCTGTTTTGTATTTTAATTTCCCTTTTTTTCTGTCCATCCATTTTTAGTAACTCTATCGTAAATGTTTCCCAGCCTTTCCTCCGTATGACATCACTCGTCTTTCACTGAGCTCTGGTCTTTCTGTTGTTTCTCCCATTGTTTCCATTCCAATAATGGTTTGGTCTTTATTTTACCCCATTCCACCTTCTTGTGCTGTGATAAATCAAAACTTTGTCTTTTCTTCTTTATATCCCTGTTGACATCAAAGTTCTCTTAGGTTCCAGTTTGCAGGAATGGTCCTGCTACAGTCCAAGCAACTTGGCATTAGGTGTCAAAAAGCAAAGTCCTTTTAGTTGTGTGCTGTCTATAATGTACGCTCTCTATATGGTACATTCTGGCTGCAGTTGCCAACATGTCTGTGTCTAAAGGTCCAGGTGAAGATGAGGCTTACAGTTGACAGGCATAGATATGCCCCTGACTGAGCAGTAGTGGTCACGCAGAAAAATGACTGTGTAACAAAGACACACTGGTAGAAGCAACAATGCTGCTGTCACTCTGCTGAAGAAGCAAAACCAACTGGCTGTGTGCAGACAGTTGCATGATGCTGAGTAGGCTCTGCTGTGTTTGAG